TTGAAACATGAGACTGGAAGCTCATCTTAATTATAATAGCTAATATTTATTGGGCAATTACACTATGCCAGGCACTGGACTTTGTGCTTGCTGCTCTAGTTTTTTCCAGCTTTTCTTTTTTTGAGGAAGATTAGCCCTGAGCTAACATATGCTGCCAATCCTCCTCCTTTTGCTGAGGAAGGCTGGCCCTGAGCTAACATCCATGCCCATCTTCCTCTACTTTATATGTGGGATGCCTACCACAGCATGGCTTGCCAAGGGTCGCCATGTCCGCACGTGGGATCCGAACCAGTGAACCCAGGGCCACCAAGAAGAACGTGTGCACTTAACTGCTGTGCCACCAGGTCAGCCCCTTTTTCCAGCTTTATTGAGATTTAATTGACAAATAAGATTGTGTAAGTTTAAGGTGTAAACTTACCATGTGGATTTGATACAGGTATATATTGCAACATGATTCCCACCCTAGCATTAGCTAAAACCAGCCTCACATCACAGAATGACCATTTCTCTTTTGTAGTGAAAACATTTAAGATCCACTCTTTTAGCAACTTTCAAGTATATAGTACAATATTATTAACTATAATCACCAAGCTGTGATATCAAACCTGAAGTGAGTTTGCTCACCTGCTGCACAGAAAGCCAATCTCTGGCACCTGGTGTAGTGGAAGAAAGTAGGAATTTTATTATTGCACGGCACTGAGCAAGGAGAAAGGGCAGCTAATGCTGAAATCTCAAACTCCCTGAAAGCTAAAAGTAAGGGTTTTTATTTGGGGTTTTAGGTAGGGGAGAGGAAGCATATGGCCTTGCTCATCAGAGCTTTTCCACTAGCCTGGAGCTCCTTGGCAGGGAGGAGGAGGAGATAATGAACCCAGGTGGTTGTCCTTGGCTGTGTCTGTCTCCATGGAGGATAGTCGATTCTGGGGCCAGGAAGCCAGGGAGTAAGCAGGGAATCAGTGTTTTGGTTTTAACCCCACATATGCTGGGTTTAATGCAGGGAAACTGATATGAGGGCCGCTATCAGCTGTACATTAGATCCCTAGCTCTTATTTGTCTTATAATATTTGTTTGCATTCTTTGACCAACATCTCCCAATTTCTTCACACTCCTATTTAATCTTGTCAACTATCTATAAATAGATGTTATTGACATTTCTGTTGTATAGATCAGACAATGAGGCTTAGAAATATTAGTAATTTGCCCAAGCCTGGTAAGCTATGCAGCCAATAAGTTGGAGGGGAAAGTTTATAACTGAAGTTAATTTTGGTTAAACTGGTAGGAATGTAAGTTGGTATTGACCCCAGAGCATTCTGTATGCACTGTACTCATTTACATTTGTGTGTGACATCCATTCATTTGGTCTACACTGAGCACAAGGACTGCTGCAGAAGCGGGACAGCAAAGAAGAGTAAGGCACAATCAATGCATTCTAAGAATTCACTGCCCAGCAGAAGAGATGGATAAGGAAACAGTCCATACAATATCCATACTGTGATGAGGGCTTTGGCAGATGTGAGCCCAGAGCCTGAGGGCAGCTACACCATTCTGGGACCAGGATCCTCATTTACCTGACTATGTGGAAGGGAAACTTGCCCATTTTCTGACCTTGGAGTTGGCCCCCATCCCCTTCTGCACATAGCTGCTTCTCTGCCAGGGCTTTAGGCAAGGCATCCACTCCTCTTGCATGGCCCCAGATTCACACAGAGCCCTGTGCAGGTGTATAATAAAGAAAATCACTGCTCTTTTGAGTCTGGACCTAGAAATCCCAAGCCAGCCAACAGTTATCCTTGTCTCTTTGCCTCTTGCCTCTGGAAGGCTGTCCATCTGTGTGGTTGAAGTCAGGAAGTCCATTTGATTCCTTTGGAAATGCCCACATGTGTCCTTCTGTTGTTCCCAGCAGCAGGATGATAACATGCTCAGCTCCCAAGATGATGGCCAAGGCAAGAAGAAAGATGGTCAGCCTGGGAGTCCCAGCAGCAGCCACCTGGCCTATGGTATCTTGGACGTCCCACCATGGTATCTCTGCATCTTCTTGGGGATTCAGGTAATGCCAGCCAGCAAACACTGGGTCCAACAAGGCTTTGCCTCAAAAGCCACATCAATGCACACCCGGGTCACATTAGGCAAGATCCACAACTTCAGTTGCTGATACTGTCTTCCAAGTAATTGACCTCTAGGGGAGCTCAGAGCTCCTCTGGTCTCTCTTTCTGTCCAAGAGTTTAGGGGTAGGAGGAGGAATTAAGGAAGATTTTCTCTCATGCTGGGCTGATAGGTCACATCAAGGACACCAACTTGGCAATTTCTTTTTCAAGATACCAATTTTAATTTATTTGATTGGCAACAAGTAAAAAATTTGATAATCAACGTTTGGGGATTTTTCGAAAAGAAGCTCTCTTGAACACTTTTGTTGGAGTGTTATTTGCTGCAATCTTTCTGGATTACAGTTTGGTGATTTCCATCAACATGTAAAACACATATACCCTTTCACCCAGTCCCCAGTGCTTGAGTTTTTCTCTGTGGATGTGCTGACAAGGCTTGTTCAAATAAATAAAGGTAGTTCTTGTAACATTGTTGGTAATAATAAAATCAAAACCACATAACAAAGCAACAAAACCCTAGAAACAATCAAAATACCCATCACAGGGAACTGGTTAAATAAATTGTGGCACATCCTAACAAATGACTTTTTTATGCAACTGTTAAAAAGGGAAGGATATATTTACCTTACAGTTAGGGAATGTTCCCCAAGTTATATTAAATGCAAGAAACAGAATAGATAACTGTGCATAGTGTGATCTTTTTTCTGTTAAAAACAAACATAAAAGAGATAGAATGGTAGAAATAAGTATATGTAAGAACTTTATATGTTTTGAATGGTTCACAAGAAACTAATAAAGCTGTTTAGCCTTGGGAAGAGGAACTAGGAAAGGCAGGGTAGCTTTCAACTTTCATTTTTTTATTCTGTAAATTTTATAGCATGAACTTTCTAATTTCATAGATGTGTTTCTTTTACTATTACAAACTGTTCAACATGGGATTGCAGGGATATGATACACATTTTTGTTTGCTTCTTGGTGCTTTTCTATAAAATAATAGTGAAGGTCATATTATTCTTAAAATATTGTTGTGAGCCAATATAATGGATAATGTAGTTATTTTATCATGAAAGAATGTTGAATTTTTTCAAATACTTTTTCTGTGTCTATTGAGATGATCATATGATTTTTATCTTTCATTTTATTAATGTGATGTATCATATTTATTGATTTGTGTATGTTGAACCATCCTTGCACCCCAGGGATAAATCTCACTTGATTGTGGTGTATGATCCTTTTAATGTACTGTTGAATTCAGCTGGCTAGTATTTTGTTGAGAATTTTGCATCTATAATCATCAGGGATATTGGCCTGTAGTCTTCTTTTCTTGTAATGTCTTTGTCTGGCTTTGGTATTAAGGTTATGCTGGCCTCATAAAATTAGTTTGGGAGTGTTCCCTCCTCTTCAATTTTTTGGAAGGTTTTGAGGATTGTTGTTAATTCTTTAAATGTTTGGTAGAATTCACCAGCGAAACCTCTCATCCTGGACTTTTCTTTGTTGGGAGGGTTTGGATTGTTGCTTCAATATCCTCGCTTGTCATTGGTCTGTTCACATTTTCTGTTTCTTTATGATTCAGGTTTAGTAAGTTGTGTGTTTCTAAGAAGTTACCCATTTCTTCTAGGTTATCCAATTTGTTGGTGTATAATTTTCATACTAGTGTCTTATGGTTCTTTGTATTTCTGTTGTATCAGTTGCAATGGCTCCTCTTTCATTTCTTTCTTTTTTTATTTAAGATTTTATTTTTCCTTTTTCTTCCAAAGCCCCCAAGTACACAGTTGTGTACTTTTAGTTCTGGGTCCCTCTATTTGTGGCATGTGGGATGCTGCCTCAGCATGGCTTGATGAGCAGTGCTATGTCCGCACCCAGAATTTGAACCGGAGAAACCCTGGGCCACCAAAGCGGAGTGTGGGAACTTAACCACTAGGCCATGGGGCTGGCCCCTCCTCTTTCATTTCTGATTTTATTTGTTTGAGTCTTCTCTCTTTTTTTTTCCTTAGTCTAGCCAAAGATTGGTTTATATTTTCAAAAAGCAAGTTGATCTTTTCTATTGTTTTTCTGGTCTCTGTTTCATTTATTTCTGCTCTGATCTTTGTTATTTCCTTTCTTCTGCTAAATTTGGACATAGTTTGTTCTACTTTTTCTAGTTCCCTGAGGAGTAAAGTTAGGTTGTTTGTTTGAGATCTTTCTTCTTTCTTAGTATAAGCATTTGTTGATGTAAACATCTCTTTTAGAACTGCTTTTGCTGCATCCCATAAGTTTTGATATGTTATGTTTCCATTTTCATTTGTCTCAAGATATTTTTTATTTCCTCTTTGACCCACTGGTTGCTTAGGAGTCTGTGGTTAATTTCCACTAATTTGTGAATTTTCCAGTTTTCCCCCTGTTATTGATTCCTAGTTTCATACCACTTTAGTTGGAAAAGATACTTGGTATGATTTCAGTCTTCTTAAGTTGGATAAGACTGTTTTGGGACTTAATACATTATCTATCCTGGACAACATGCTTAGGCCTTCCTGGTCAATGGTCTTGCCCTCACCTTCTGCCTTGTTTTAATAATGAGCCTCTTGCCTTGTTCTTATCCTTGTGGCCCTGTCCTTGCTTCCTGTTATGTCCACCTTGGCTGTGTTTCTGCTTTAGTTTCTTACTCAGGATACCAGTTCCAAGCACTAGGGTCCTGTCCAGGATCTGCCCTTGAACCCCAGACCCTCTGGCTGGGTCCTTGTTTCTGATAGCAAGGCCTTCCTGGTACCCACTGTTTGCCTGGATTTCTGCCTGCCACTCATGGAGAGCTTCCTCAGAGACCTGAGATGGAGCTCTTGGCTCTGGCAATGGGAATGGAAATGAGGGTGGTTCAGGAAGCCACAGCATTTACATGCCCGTCTACTCTCTCTGCTCTGCCCACAGCACTTCCTTACGGCCCTGGGGGGCCTTGTGGCAGTGCCACTCATCCTGGCCAAGGACCTGTGTCTGCAGCATGACTCCCTGACCAAGAGCTACCTCATCAGCACCATGTTCTTTGTCTCTGGCGTCTGTACTCTCTTGCAAGTGCTTTTAGGAGTCAGGTAAGTAAACTCCTCCCCATGGATTCACACTTTTACCTGCCATAGTATCAACAAGTCTTGCTTGGCTTATAGCAGGAGAGGCAGTTAGGAAGCTGGTGTGACATGGTAGAGGGAGCACAGAGCCAAGAGTCAGAGCGTGGGTTCAAGTCCTAGCTTCAACACTTCCTATCTATATTAGCTAGGATTCTTGATTAAAATAACACAAATTCAGATTAATTTAGGCAAAAATTTGTTTGTTATTAACTGATAAGATCAAGCCAAAAGAAAGGCAGGGCACATTATGCATCAGGAACACATTGAACCAGGTACTCAATGCCACCAGGACTTTCTCTCCATCTCTTGCCTCTATTCAGGTCCACCCCTAATATTTGTGAGACCCAGGGCAAGAGTATAAATGCAGACCCACACACTCCGTGTCTAAATATCAAAGAGTTATAGACCAAACTTCCAAACTCCTAAATAAAATGTGTTCTTATCATCCCACCTGAAAGGCCAGGTTTGAATTAGAATTCTCTGATTCCTTCAAGTTCTGCTGTAGAACCTGGCAGCATGGGGAGGGCTGGCCCCCACCCTGTGGCCTTCCCCCTTCTCTTCCCACCACAAGCTTTTCCCCAGATCATATATGGTCTCACATGCATGGATGTGGACACCCCAACCTGCACACACAAGTTCCATCCACTCCACCCCCCACCAGATTCCCCAAACAGCTGCCCCTTGGCCATCCTTCAGGCCTGGGGGTTTTCACACCAGCATCATGGTCAGCCTTCAGCAGCACAGACCTGGGGAATAGGCCCAAGCAGGCACTAGAAGAGGCTCAAGGACATTTGGACAGAGAATTCTTGGGACTCAAAGGTAAGGGCACACAGACTTCTGGTGGGTAGAGCCCCTCGCCCTGCAGACAACCCCCCAGAGGAGGCCAGAGTGGAGCCCGCTACAGCATCAGGCTAAGTGCAGGGGGCTCTCCTCTCCTAGTCTGAAGACAAGACTGTCTCTTCATTACTCTGCCAGTGCCAATGCTTCATTCTCGCAGACACACTTCCTGCACATGTCCATAGACAGGGCTGCTGGCAGGCCTCACACTAACCCCTCAAAAGGAGTACTGCTCTGGCTGGCCTCACATTTTAAAATTCCAGGGGAGAGCTCTGATTGGTTCAGTTTAAGCCAAATGCCCAGCCCTGGACCCACCAGGGCAACAAAAATATGGAAATTCCAATTCAGGAAGACAAGTTCTGTTCTGAGTAGAGAAGACAGCAAACATTCACAGAACCAGATATGTGCTCTGGGATCTGCCAGATGAGGCTCATGATAATATGTGCCCTGCTCCTTTACAGTGTCATTGAAATAATTGATTGTTATAATCAGTGGAGTCACCTTTTTTGTAAAATCCTCAAGTCTTTTTTTGCTCATATGTAGGCTCATAAATTTAGCCTGAATAAAATGGAGTCCTATTGCCCTGGAGCTGGACTTGACCAAACTGTGAACAAAGCCTAGAACTCATGTCTTTGGAACATTTCCTCCTCCTTTTCACACATCTTGTCTTCACATTCTCCACCACCACCCCCGGCCCCGCCTGGATCCCACACCACACAGTGGCTCCCTTGGGTCACCATCTCCTCAGGAAAGTCCTCTCTGTTGGTCCTCCAGACCTTTCTTGCTCACCTGCCTCTCCTCACATCTGTCAGTCCTGTATCTTCTTCGTCTCACATTTATTTAGTATCCAGACCAAGGACAGACCCAGGTTTTGTTCAGCCTGAAGCTTATACAGTTTTTGGTGTCCCCTTTAAGAAAAAAACCCTCAAAATTGTGAATACAAATCAGGTACAAAAGAGAATATTATTACCTTGAAAAAATCAAAACACATTACAAATTTTTAAAAACAGATAAAAACAGAAATGCCACCAATTTCAAAACATAGCTTGGTATTTTTTATTCTTTAACCTTCTCATAATCCCCTGTAATACAATTTTCCCCAAATTTTATGGTTACATACATTTCAATCCCCTCTTCATTTCACAGAGAGAAGAAAAGATAATTTAGTCATTCCTCTAGCAGGAGTCACTCCAAAACTGTTTGTTACGACTGCTCGTTGGGACTCATTATCATGCCTCACATGCAAACTGTAGTACTGCTGTAGATTTGTGTCCCAAAACACAGGAATTCTGACCAATTCTATGGCACGTGATTCCTATCAATTTTTTATAAATGCATGGTGCGTTTATCATTGCACATGCTGCGTTGTTAAGCATATTCCTGATAGGAGGAAACTTCCGTTGTGCCTGCACGTCAATGAGAACCAGACCTTCTCTGGTAGTTTGACGTAGCTGCTGGTTGGCCAATTTGCCACAGACTAGCTTCTGAATGCATACATTACAAACCTTGTTTCTCATCTACCACCCACATGTGTCAAGTGGCAGATGCTGTAGGTCACATTCATACCATAATTCATACCATAATATGTGGCCTCTAGTCCTGCACCTTCATGACATATAATGAGCTGCACAGTGGGCAATAGAGCTTTGCTAGAAACCATGAATACCCTAGGTGGCTAGCAGCACATTAACTACACATGGGTAGTTTAGTGGTCTTGAACCATAAAATATATCCCACTACATTCAAACTAAATTTATCCTGACTCAACTCCCCCTTAGCCAGATCTTAAAAGTGTCCATGGCCTTTCAAATGCCATCTGGCGCAAGGGTTGGAGTTAGGGAGGTGGCGGTGGAAGGAGACGGTAGTTACAGACAATTGTGGCTGAAATCTTTTACTTTTGCAAATTTTACGAAGGTGTATGGCTAGTGAACACATTGCAGGGCCCCTCCCTGGGCTTTAGAAGGAACCATGCAAGGGAGAGGCCCGCCACTGTGAATCTGCTTTGACCTAATCTGTGCCAGGCCTGTGCTCAGCCCTGGAGTTGCAGAGGAACATGGAAAATCTTCCCTACAGTGTGCTTCTGCCTGACCTGTCTTAAGAGGAAATGACTGGACACGAAAAATTAATACCCATTTATTCCTTATCAATTATCTGAATCAAGCCCCACAGGTGTAGGCTGATACGGGGTTGGCCCATTGTTTCCAGGACAGGCTGACTGCAGGCAGCATCCAGAGGAGAATATTCCTTCCTACCGTGGTCTTTTGCTAAATCAAGTCAAGGGCACTTTCCACAGTGCTTCCTTTGCAAGACATGTCCAGGAGCTATGCCAGTGCTGAAGTTCTCCCATTCTCTGCCGAGGAGTGGGAGACTAGCACCTACATCTTTGGCAGGTTATTTCCCTTCTCCCTCTATCTTCTCCTGTCACCATCTCTGTGAGCCGAGATTTCTTCCAAATTCCCCATCAAGAACTGAAAGAGGTATGAGATTTGCTCTGATCTGTCTCTCAGGTCCCTAAGGTCCAGGACCCTTCCTTCCTTCCCAGGATTGGCCCCTGGAATTTCAGATGCTGTAGTAGCATTAGGCAGGCCTTGCAGCAACCTGTATGGATTCCCAGGAGCCCCCCAGCCCTGCCCCAGGCCCATGGAGATTTACAAACACAAACTCTTCTGGATGGAGGAGACCCTCACCTTAAACCTGAGACTGTGTCAATTATAATTATATTGGAGGCCAGGAATTCCAGTCCTGGCTTCTGTGCTGTGGGAACTTGGACAAGTCAATGACCCTCTCTAGGGCTCAATTTTCTCATCTGTAAAATGAAGGAGTTGAACTATATAATATCTAAAAGCCCCTTACATCTCTAATATTGTGGACACCTATGATGTCAACAGAGAAGATGATGAAGTGCCATATTTCAAATGGATAATCAGTAGTAAAAGTGCCTGTGGACCTAATGTTCTGCTAAGTTCTGAGAAACAATAGTTAATTAGGAGTTGATGTTCAAAGAACTTACACTCTAATTAAACATGCAAATAAAGAGGGAAATAAATCAGGATAATGTTGTTAGACTGAGGTGGGGGCAGGAACACACTTGAGTTTGGTTCTGCCCATTAAAGTGGGCTTCCGTCTCAGATGCTCCAGAGTAACTGCCTAAGATGTTATAGATGGTAAAACCTAACTGACAGCTTGTGAATCAAAGGTCAAGTCGATTTGATTGCAGATTATCCGCTAACCAGTATTCTATGGTGTACTTTTCTAGATTAGAAACAAGATGCTGATGTTGCAATAGGATTTCAGAAGGTCTTAGTACTTAAAACCATGTTAAATAATCAAAAAGGAATGGTAAAGGCTTTCACTGCTGCTTCTGATATGAGCGCTCATGAGTGCTGTACCCAGTGTGGGGCAGGCGGTGATAAGCCTTAGCAGCATGGACGGCTGCTCCCTGCTATGAATTTAGGGCCTTCCTCGCTCAGGTGCTCACTTCTGAAGTTCCTGGAAGGGCATACTTCACCATTCATTTCAAAATAAGAGGTTAAGTTTGAAAGGCAATCACCAGAGGAAATCTAATATTGACTATATGTAATTCTGGGCCTTAACTCCATCTCTGGAATTATTTGTGACTTTACCAGCTAATTTCTTTCTGGAGTGGTTCCAGGTGGTATAACTCCTTTTCGATTTTCCTGGGAATATCTCGTGTGGAACAAGCACTCCCGCCACAAAGTATGCTCAGGTGTCTTATGTTTGCTTTCATGCAGTTTCCCAGGAGTCAGCCCTGCCCTTGGTCCTTTTCATATGCCTACTTCCCTGTGGGCTGAGCCTCGCCGTGCCCTAGCTCTGCATCTGTCCCTGGTTATGCAGAAAGGCCATACCCATCGCCACAGGTCTGCAGCCACCTTGCTCCTGCACTGTTGACAGCTAGGTCACCAGATGTGCCCTTGGAGCTCTGGCTGGAGCAGGAACAGTGGTGGCCGTTGGGGTGGAAGAGTGACCTGGCCATCAGACACATCAGAGGAGGGAGAGGGGTTGATGTGTCCCAAAGAGGGAGCTGGTGCTTCTGCTTCCTGTGGGTTTGAGTTGGGCGGTTATCCACAGAGAAGGTGCGCAATGGGCTTTCCCACAATTTAGCAGGTCCT